TGCCCCAAAATGGCGGGGACTGACCCAGGGCCTCGAGAGCCCCACAACACCAGGGACTGACTCCTTGGGCCCCACAGAGAACAGGGAAGCACAGCTGTGCCTGGGGGAGGCCCCAGCCGAGGGCAGCAGATAAAAGGATGGTGACAGGGGTGTCGAGGGGCTGCTCTGCTCCATTTCCATCGCAGAAGGATTATTTTTTGCAGCAATACACAAGTCCATATATAGAAGGTAAAAATTATTTCACATTAGTTCAAACAGGCAGAAGAAAACAAGGACAATTGTACCTTAGCAAGAAGTTATAGAATGGCCCTACTTCACAAGAACCAACCTCTCCTGCATTCCAGCAGCTACCTGGATACTCTGAAGTTAAGAAAGATATCAAGGCAAACAGTGTTCTGTTTTTCCTATTTCATATCTACTGGGAAGGGAGAGGGGAAATAGCATTTTTCACAGATGCCAAATATAAAAATATTAAGTACTAAATACTGAAATACCAAAATATGTTGGTGCTTCTCAGGTTTAGAATCCAGGCAGTCTGTGTCCTTCAATGGAATTATTGCACAAGAACTACTTGAACAAGGAAAGCTTCAGCTGTACAGAAAGGTTACAATGCAAGAGCTATTCAAAACACTGAAATTAGGAAGTGAATTCTTACTATTATTATTTTAAACATTAGCCACATGAAAACCTTGACCAGGCGTTGGTCAGTGACAGATTTACTGACATTTATGACAGATGTAATGACCAGGTTAAATGACACATTTCATACATGTCACTATGCCACCCTGCCCCAGTAGTATCCCAGACCGTGGATGCTCTTAATCTGAACCCAGTAAAATGTGACTTTACAACAGGAAGTTCACTCACTGAATTCTTCTTGTAAATTAATCCAGTCACTTGCAGGGCACGACAGAAACAAAGATCTCAGCTGCTCTTCCAGATCAACCTATACACTAAAAGCCCAAGATCATATGGAGCATCACAACAGGATTCTCCACTTCCCATACATACCACACAAACACCTCTGGAAAGTCATCATGGCAGGAACATCTGCCTTTTGTACAACTGGAAAAAACAGTTACCAGCAGCACAGAAGAGAAGCAGGACATGCAGTGGTCTGGGAAGACACCTGCTTGGGCCAAAACTGGCAGAATTGATTCTCCATATACAGAACAGCAGATACTTATTTCAATGACTGTTCAGCTTCCTCATCTTCTCCCGTTGGAAAACACAGAGCAAAGACAATGCTTTCAGCACAGGCGCTTGGGTTCTGCCGAACAGAGCCAACTTTCAGGCACCATTTAAGGCAACTCCAGTAGAAACACAAAGCAGGAACCGAGTGAAACCCTCCCATCCACACCCAGGTAAGTGCTCGGAGGTGCTGTGCTACACCACCAGCACAAGAATCCCTGTGCAGACAGCACAATCAATTAAACCAGCGCGCTGATTAATGTCAGGACAACGGTCCTCACTGCACCAAACCGTGTCCTGCTTGCCACCACATCATTAATATACATGGTAATGCTCAAGAAAACCACTGAGAGGCTCTTGAAGGTACCAGCAGCAAACAAACGTGTCATACCGGCTACCCCTCGGGGAGGGGACAGGAAAATCACACCGCAAGGGCTCCTTCCAGGTGCATCACTTAAATCCCCGCTGGATCACCGAGGCGAGGGCCGGGCCCGCTCGCCGCCCCTCATCCCGCTCGCACAGATCTCCGTTTTCCCGGGAAGAACCGCGGAACTCATCGGGGATCCGAGGGCACCCGCCGCCGAGGCCGGCCCTGAGGGGAGCCGAGCCCGCTGCCCCCTCGGGCCTTTCACGCCCTTCGCGTCCGCCCAGCGCGGCGCGCGCTTCCCGCCGCGGCGTGAGGGGATCGACGGGGAGGAGGAGGAGGAAAGACCGAGAAAAAAACGCCCCGATGGGCGCCGCGTACCTGTCGGCACTGCAGGGGGAGCTGCTGGCGCTGCAGGCGGC